AAACATTCCAGAAGAACTTATGACTTATGTAACTTATTCTTTTCAGAACTTAGTTCTGGAAAGAATACGTCACAAGAATTTCCGTTTCAGTATTCTATGGATCGGGATCATCTAAATGGGCTATAAGATGGAGCTCAAAAAGAGAAGTTTACATCAAATTCTAGAACATGCAGTAAATAGAAGCTGATATTTTAAAAGAATTGCTTCGAGGACAAAAAAGAAAAGGAATGTTTAGATTTTTGTGCGTCATTAGAGTTACAAAAGAATATTTAAAATAAGTTATTAGGGAAAATCGTAGATGTTCCTATGTGCCACTGAATATAACGGAGTTATGATGTCCAAAATTAGTCTTCTGGTAAATCAGGAATTTTAGAAATATCTCAAATATTTTATATTTGTCAAGATTAGGCACAAACCGTAGTAATGAAATAACAAATAAAACAGTTAAAGACATTTTCAATAAAATATCCAAAATTATCGAATAGAAAAATGTAGAGAAAGACGAACGAAAGCATAAAATCAAAAAAACGGGCGGATGTATGAGCTGAGCAAGTAAATGAAACAAAAACCAAAATCAGATATCAAATTGAGAGAAAATTTTACAGTATATTTTCGATAGGTTAAGACCCTATTTCACGATTAGCTCGCTCAGTATTATGGGTAAGTGTCCAAATCGTTTCTGGATTGTCAACATAGCATCGATGTTTAACAGTACCCCAGAAAAAAATGTGACTTTTAAGAGGTATCCTCGAAAATTACCTAAAAAGATTTGTCGACTTCCACCACCTCAACCCGTTTTCTTAGAAAATTCCTACCATTTTTCCAGCATTGTTAAAACAAAATAGCAATTTTTGAAATATTTTAAAACCTCACGTTGAAACCGAATATTTCAAAAATTTTGGTCCAGACCTATCAACACGCTATTTTCGTTTCAGCTTACCAAAGTATGTATCCCAAAATGTTTTGTGCATTTTTAGGCAACTTCGCCAAGAAACTAATTTTTTTTGGTTATTCGAATTTTCGTCGAAAATTGCCAAAAAAGATTCTTTTGTTAATTTGGACCTCCAGAACTTGTTTTCGGCTTCATTTCTTTGAAAATTTCGACGAGTTTTCTAGAACGACAATTTTAGGATATTTTTAAAAATCCACTTTGAAACAGCCATGTTTTTCGATCCGTTTTTTTTTATTTTCATGCAACTTCGTCAAAAGTTCTATTTTTCAAACAAATGAACTTTTTTACCATTTTTGACAATTCTCAAAAACTACAAAAAAAATTCGTTTGTTAATTTTGACCACCACAACTTGTTTTCGCCCTAATTTTTTTGAAAATGTCCACGAATTTTTCAAAATAAAATACGGCAATTTTCGGGATATTTTAAAAATACCACATGTAATCGAGTATTTCAAATACTATAGTCTAGGACCATCGACACGCTGTGTTTTTTGATGCAGCTGGTTCAAATCTATATCCCTGATGTTTTTGTGGATTTTTAAGTAAGTTTGGCAAAAATTCAATTTTTGCGTTGAGCATGAAATTTTAATTTCCTTTTAAGCATCTTCGAAAATTACCAAAAATATTTTTCAGTTAATTTCTGATCTGTAGAACTTGTTTTTGCCTTCATTTCTTCGAAAATTCCAAAGATTTTTCCAGTTTTTCGATGTTTTAAGCTTACGATTTTTCGACAATTTTTTGGACATTTTTTTCAGTTTTGGGATTTTATTCAATGTTTCGATTTTTTGACTTCTCGATTTTTGGACTCCTAGATTTTTTGATTTCTCGTTTTTTTACTTTTTGGCTTTTCAATTTTTCGTTAAACTTTAGATTTTTCAATTTTCCGACTGTTTTATTACTTCAATTTCTCAATTTCTTCAACTTTTCGATGTTTTAATTTTTCCATTTTTAAAATTCTAGATTTTTCGATTTCGCGAGTTTTCAATTAATAACCTTTCTTCTCGGCTTTCGACTCCTCGATTTCTCGATCCTCTGGTTTTTCGATTTCTCCATGTTTAGGTTTTTTGAATTTTTCGATGTTCGATTTTTGGATTTTTCGGTTTTTCGATTTTTGAATTTTGGGCCTTCCAATTTTTCGATTTTTCGATGTTTCAATTTTTTAGTTATCTGACTTTTCAATTTTTTAAATTCTGGAGTTTCCATTTCTCGATGTGTCGATTTTTCAGTTTTTCGATTTTTAAATTTTTATTTTTTGATTTTTTGATGTTTGGATTTTTGGATTTTTCAATCTTACGATATTTTAATTATTCAATATTTTAAATTTTAGATTTTTAGATTTCTCGATTTTTTTATTTTTTAGTTCTTCAGTATTTCTATTTTTCAATTTTTCAAATTTTGACGTTGCTAAATTTTCAGTTTTTCTGTTTTTCAATTAATCTATTTTTGAATTTTCCATTACTCAACTTCTCAAAATTTCGATTTTTCGATTTTTCGACCTTGCTTTTTTGGTTTTTCGATTTCTCAATTTTCCAATTTTTGAATTTCTCAATTTTGGATATTTCTTTCAGTTTTTGGGATTTTTGTCAATATTTAGATTCTTCTACTTTTCGATTTCTTATTTTTTGGATTTTCAGTTTTTCGTTATTTGAACTTTAGATTTTTCAATTTTTCGACTGTTTTATTACTTCAATTTTTCAATTTCTTCAACTTTTCGATGTTTTAATTTTTCCATTTTTAAAATTCTAGATTTTTCGATTTCTCGAGTTTTCAGTTCTATATTTAAATTTTTCAATTTTCTGAATTTTTAAATTTTCGATTTTCCAATTTTTCTTTTTAAAATTTTTCGATTTTTCAGTTTTTTGATTTCCTGATTTATCGAATTCAGATGTTTGGAAGCTTTGATTATTCAATTTGTCGATTTATCAATTTTTCAATTATTAACCTTTCTTCACGGCTTGCGACTCCTCGATTTCTCGATCCTCTGGTTTTTCCATTTCTCCATGTTTAGGTTTTTTGAATTTTTCGATGTTCGATTTTTGGATTTCTCGGTTTCTCGATTTTTGAATTTTGGACTGTTCAATTTTTCGATTTTCTAATTTTATTTTCCGATGTTTCGATTTTTCAGTCATCCGATTTTTCAATTTATCAATTTTTTAAATTCTGGAGTTTCCATTTCTCGATCTATCGATTTTTTAGTTTTTCGATTTTTAAATTTTTATTTCTTGATTTTTTTATTTTTTAGTTCTTGTGTATTTCTATTTTTCAATTTTTCAAATTTTGACGTTACCAAATTGTCAGTTTTCCGATTTCTCAATTAATCTATTTTTGATTTTCTCATTTCTCGACTTCTCAGAGTTTCGATTTTTCAGTTCTTCAATTCTTCGATTTTTCGACTTTGCTTTTTTGGTTTTTCGATTTCTCAGTTTTCCAATTTTTTAATTTCTCAGTTTTTGTATATTTCTTTCAGTTTTGGGATTTTTCAATATTTCGATACTTGGACTTCGTGATTTTTCGACTTCTGGATTTTTTGGATTTTCAGTTTTTCGTTTTTTAAAGTTTAGATTTTTCAATGTTTCGACTGTTTTATATTTGGATTTCTCAATTTTTCAACTTTTCGATATTTTAATTTTTCAATTTTTAAAATTCTAGATTTTTGGATTTCTCAAGTTTTCAGTTCTTCTATATTTTTATTTTTCATTTTCCGAATTTTTAAATTTACCATTTTTAAATTTTTTGAAATCTCGATTTATCAATTTTTCCATTTTTAACTTTCCGATTTTTCGACTTTGGGCCATTTATATTTCGAAACATCGAAAAATTGGAAAATCGAAAAAATAAATTGGAAAATCGAAAATTTAAAAATTCCGAAAATTGAAAAATTGCAATATAGAAGAAATGAAAACAGGAGAAATCGAAAAACCCAAGATTTTAAAAATTGAAAAGATAAAATGTCGAAAAGTTGAAAAATTTAGAAATCGAAAAAACAGCCGAAAAATTAGAAGTTTAAAAAACGAAAATGCAAAAAGTAAAAAGTCGAGAAATCGAAAAATCCAAATGTCAAAAAATCGAAAAGTCGAAATTCTAAAAAAATCCCAAAACTGAAATATCGAATAATTGAAAAATAGAAGAAAAATGAAAGAATCGAAAAACTGAAAAATCACAAAATTAAACGAAATATCCAAAAATGGAGAAATTAAAAAATTGAAAAATCAAAAATTGAAAAATCGAATAATTGAAGACCTGAAGGATTGAAAAATTAAAACTTTGGCAAATCAAGAAATGGGAAAATAAAAAAATAAATTAATTGAGAAATCGGAAACCTGAAAATTCAGAAACGTCAAAATTTGAAAAATTAAAAAATATTGCAGAACTGAAAATCTAAAATTTAAAACATTGAAAAATTAAAATATTGTAAAATCTAAAATTTAAAAATCGAAAAACTGAAGAATCGAGAAATCGAGACTCGAAAATTAAAAAAAAATATCTACACTTCCAACAGAATAATTCAAAATAACGTGCGATTCTTTAAACTTAGGCTGGTTTAGAAACTGATGTGCGTGCGGTGTGCATACCCACATCTGTCAATGTCAAGTTAAATTCGGAACAGTGAACAGTAATATTTAACCTAAAAAAGTGAACACTTGGAAATTGGTGTTGTCAACGACAAAACTTTTTATTCCAAAGCCAACCTAGATTCGAAATTTAAAAAAGTCGCACATTATTGTCACTTGTCGACCGTACAACAATAAAAATAATTATTAATAACAAAAGAAATAGACACAAATATTAATTTATTAGTTGGAAAACCCACCGGTATCTGACGAACTCAAATTATCATGTCTTGTTCGTCGAAGTTGGAGACCGATCGATATCCTTCTAAACACAGTCATTAAAACTGGTTTTAAATTGATACGAAAATGATAAGTTGACGAACTTTAGATACTAAAAATAAAATAATAGCTAGCGAGTTTAGAACAGTTAAATTTATTTATCCTTCTTTGACTGAGCAAAGTTAAAAAAAAAAAAATAAAAACACTTGTCATAAAACTCATAATTTGTCAATAACAGATAACTTTTTTTTTAATCTGCAAGAAATGTTCGGTTTTGTGTGTACTGGTGAAACTATTGTCAGCGTTAACCGACAAAAAACGACACATTTTGGTATTTCAAAGGTAATAATAATTATTATTATAACATAAAATACTGTAACACGGATAATTTGAAATTAACTAAGTAACAACTAGCAATAGTAAATATTATATGACTATTTTTTTCCATTTTTCTTGGAGGGGATGGGGTTAGAGACAAAGATCAAAAAATTGCAAGAATTCTGGGTGAAAATTGTAGAAAGAACTGAAGTGAAAAGTGAGGTTATAATTCATTATTAAAATGCTATGTTGACATTCTAAGAAAGTTTTAATGTGTACCACAATCCTGTTAGTAACAAAGAAATGTTCTAAATTAATTTAAATAATATCTGTTTACAAGTCGATTGTTAATGATTTAAATATTGCAAATAAAACACAAAAACAAAAAACAAAGCGCATTTTTTTTTCATTAAAATTGTAAACTTCGAACTTTAAATTGCGCCTCTTTAATTATCTTTGGTATGAAACGTTTAAACATTTGTTGTTATATGTATACAATTGTTAATATATTTTCCCAACTGTTCATTTACAACACGCGATTCTTGATTTATCATATTTTTAACTTTTTATTTCTAATGATCTGCTCTAGGGAAGGTTTCACATAATACAAACTGAGTTCTATACACCTGAAATACTTACGATCCATTTTAACAAAAAAAAAAATTGTTTTTCATTAATTCTGGAATGGTTCTATTTATTAAACAGATCAGCTTTTAGTGGTACACCGCAACGTGTACAACAATCTTTAGAAATTGGTATGCAAATATCTACATTTCCGCTTTACCCCTTTATGTTATATTGCCAGTTAGTTCGTGAACAAATAGACTCCTTGGATGCCAGACCTCAATTATACACAATTTTCTCCACTTGGACCACACAGCTGAAAGTATTTAATAATGCAACATGATAATTACCCTCCTGCTTGACACCGCTAGCACCTCTCCCATTTAGAATACAAAACTGCTTGCTGAATTGTTGAATCTTGTTTCAGGTGTTACCGGGCCTTTATGTCGGAAATTACAGGGACTCAAAAGACGCTAACCAACTAGCTAAACACAACATTACTCACATCGTTGCCATTCACGACTCTGCAAAAAGAATACATTCCGTAAGCATGAACAAGTCTTTGTAGATTTCTGCTCGTAGTTTATTTATTGATTTATGCGTTGTCGTGATCGTGTATTTTTACTCGTTAATAACGGCGTTAACAAAGTTCAAAATATACTAAATCCGAGCTTCACTTCAAAGCATAATAGTCAATTTCAAAGAAACTGTTTTGTCTTCAATTTTTGAAATTCGTTTTATGTTCTGCGGGATTTTTCCTTAAAACATTCCAACCGCTGGAAATCCAACTGTTTGATTTCACGAAACACTTACGGCTGTGTTCTGCCTTTCAATTCAAATACAGATACATATAAATTACATTTCTTACACTTCTGCACTGAATGCAGTGACTAGATCGAAACCTCGTAAAAACAAGTGTGAAATCGTGCTCAACTTGTTTGCTATGCGTGTTTAACTGCAAAGTTTATTTACCCTTAGCCACATAGAGCTATAAAGTAAATTTATTGTTTATTGTTTAGCGGTAATTACCTATGAGTGATGTCTAGTATAGGTAATTAGTAACATCGTTTCAAGCTTGCATCACACGATCAGATTTCTACATGAAGATTATATAACAGTACTTAAACAGAAAATTATGAAACTCGTCTCCCTTTTTTTCTTTGTACATTATATATATATTTGTGAACAATATGACAAAACTGATGGTCTTATCAATATCAAAAACTTAATTTAACAGATTATACACGCTCGCGTCAACCCGATGCATCAGTTTCTTTCAAAGCTCATTGTTTTCAGCTAAATGGAATATTTTATTAATTGCATTACGCGTTATGGCGTTCGTGATGACTCTGAAATGGAATACATTAAAAACTTGTGTAACGAGCAATTTGCAGGAAAATCATCCTCAATTATTTAGAATTATCAATCGCTAATATAACTGTCGAGGGGCTTAATAACTGCAATTAATTGGTAATGTACACACGGTGATAAAGCAAGGTAGGAAATTATAGAGAGAACATTTTGTTAGAAACGATAAAGTTTACGAACGATGTTCCAATTTCCGGCAACACACTCAATACCGGATTTAATTTTAGTTCCAGCAAGCGAGCAATTTATGTCTTATTTCTGTCTGTTACCAGTGGAAGTAAATTAGCATAATAATTACATTTTTCCGACACAGTTGTGGATGTTGAGAAAGAGTTTTTCTTTTAGCAAATTGTTAGTATGGCGTTATTGTATAGAAATATTACGATTGTTTGCGGGGCTTTTGTTTTTGTGTAGTGTAGCGAGCTAATTAGAATGTATTTTCTTGATTCATAAAATTTCACACCTATTAACATCAAAGTTTCTTGACGAAATAGTCGAGTTCGACTTTCTAGTTGTGTAAACTCTACCTCTACATGTTGAAAGAGTAATAAAAACACGATCAAAGATAAGCATGGATTTTTGAAGATTTATCTCTGATAGAATTGTCGTCGTGTCAGATTACAGTCAATTTGAAAATTTGCACTGAAAATGCAGGGACCAAAGACAAACTTTACAAAATCTACGACTGTCTTTGATCTTGTTTTAATTGCTCTCTAGGTATTACACTCACGCGATTATTTCTTTTTGTTGGAATTACTGTCATATTTTCTGTAAATGCAAATCAAAAAAATGCATAATACTTGCGAAAATACAATAGAAAATTATGAAATAATTTCCCAATTTTTGAAACTTTTATTCAACGAAAATCAGCAAATTGTGGCTTACTTAAAATTTCAATTGTGCACTCCTGCTGTGGCAATCAACAGAATTTTTTGCAACTTAAATGCACGTAGTATCACTTTTGTAATTAAAAATAAAAACTTCTAACTTTTATATAAGTATCTATTTAGTAAAATTATGAAGTTCTGAATGGTTAATTAATTAGGTTAATACTGTTTCTTGATTATATTTAAGCTGGGAATAATGGTTAGGTTTCTGACACAATTCATAACCTTAAATCGGTGACAACCCAAATCAACACAAAGAATCTTAATATTTCTAAAGAAACTTTAACTTCCTAATGTTGAAGTGATTAGCAACCAAGTTACTAGATTTCTATGGCTTGCTGCGGTCTAAAAATGTCGTGAATGTTTTACAGGATTGCACTGTCGTCGCCTGAGAACTTGTTTGATCTACAGACCAGAGCGCACTCAGGCCAATATCGACTCTAAGCGATTTATCTATAAGCCGACATTCGTTAGAGCTGATCTGACACATCCACTACTAATCCGGTTTGATCATCTAGTCGGACTTCACAACGACGAATAAGTTCTTGAACACCTTTTAATGACTTAATACATAATGTTCACGAATGATAAAATTAAATTTATATTTCAAATTGTATTATCAAATGGTAAAGGGCTCACCAAAATTTGTCGCCAACAATGAAATGACGAAATCTCCAAATTTTACGATAGTAGATGTAATTAAAATTTTATATCCTCCGTTTGTGGCTTATGAATCCGTGTTGAGTTTTTACCTTAGACGTCAACATTTTTTGAAAAAAAAAATCAACAGCATTTTCCAAATTATAGTTATTGGAAGCATGTTAAATCGTTAGTCAAAATTTATCCGTTCATGCCACCCAGGAATTGATGATGTCATCTTATAATTTTGTCAAATAAATGTTATTTAAATGTTAAAAAGTAGCATAGTCCTGAACGTGGTTTATAAATACGCTTTTGAGATGTTTCGTCGTTTCGATTTCTCGATTTTTCGACTGTAGATGACTCAATTTTTCAATATTTCAATTTTGGGTTGTTTCGATTTTTCCATTACTTATTCAAATTTTCGACATTTTCATTTTTCGATTTCTCAATTTTCCGATGTATCAATGATACGATTTCTCAATTTTTGTCCTCTTCAATTTTACGATTTTAAAATATTTCGATTTTTCAATTTTTCAAATTTTGACGTTTCTAAATTTCCAGTTTTCCGATTTCTGAAGTAATCTTTCTTTTATTTTCCCATTTCTCGACTTCCCAAAGCTTCTAGTTTTCACTTCCTCAATTCTTTATTTTTCGGTTTTTCAGGTTTTTTATTTTTCAGTTTTTCCATTTTTTGAGCTTAGGATTTTTCCACTTCGCTTTTTTAGTTTTTCGATTTCTCAATTCCCGAATTTTTTAATTTGTCAATTTTTTGGATATTTTTTTCAGTTTTTGGACTCCTGGATTGTTTGATTTCTCAATTTTTTACTTTTAGGCTTTTCGTTAAACCTTAGATTTCTCAATTTTTCAACTTTTCGATGTTTTAATTTTTCAATTTTTAAAATTTTAGGTTTTTCGATTTCTCAAGTTTTCAGTTCTTCTATATTTCAATTTTTCAATTTGCCGAATTTTTAAATTTTCGGTTTTCGAATTTTTATTTTTTTAAATTTTTCGATTTTTCAATTTTTTGATTTCTCGCTTTTTTGATTTTTCAGTTCTTCAGTATTTCAATTTTTCAAAGTTTGACGTTGCTAAATTTTCACTTTTCCGATTTCTGAATGAATCTAGTTTTGATTTTGCCATTTCTCGACTTCTCAAAGTTTAGATTTTTCAATTCTTCAATTCTTCTATTTTCGATTTTTCGAATTTGCTTTTCTGGTTTTTCGATTTCTCAATTTTCCAATTTTTTAATTCTTCAATTTTTGGGTATTTCTTGCAGTTTTGGGATTTCTGTCAATATTTCGATTTTTCGATTTTTTATATTTTGGATTTTAAGTTTTTCGTTTTTTAAACTTTAGATAGATTTTTCAATTTTTCGACTGTTTTATATTTCGATTTCTCAATTTTTCAAGTTTTCGATATTTTAATTTTTAGAATATCTAAGGGCGCACAAATTTTGTTTTTATTACTGTTTACTTTTGAGAGATGTTCGAAGCCGTTATAAAAATGTTATTTCAAAAGTATCTCTTCAACTTCATTTTAAACATAACATATTGAAAAATTGATAAAATACATATTGAAATTATGCCTAAATATAATTATTTCAAGATAACTAATCTTTCACTCAGGCATTAAATTACATTTTAGATAGTGTTTGTATTTTTTACATTAAATAAAATATTTATAAAGCAATGCAAATTTTGTCCACTTAGAAATATTTTTGTATACTTATTTGCGATGACTTAAAAAAAAAACCCAAATTGGTCCATCGTGTATACCAAAATGAGGTAATTATTTGCAAGGCATAAGGAAAAATATTTCAAATTTTTTATTTTCCAGATAAAACTTCGCATCATTAGAAATATTGAAATTCTGTAATCGCTATTGCTTTTAGTTTGAAGAGGGAAGCATAATTTAGTACGTTACATATGACACTTATATTGTGTATTTTAAATTGCAACTTATGTTGTTATTACGGATTTTGAAATTCGACAATATTCATAGTATCGTAGGCCCAAATCTTCCTGAATAGACAATAAGCAGGATCTTTTAAGAAAAATGTAGTGTAAGAAAGTGATATCGAAACAGGAGCTACAGTTCCATCCGATGAAGAAGATATGAGTGCTGATACTGATCAGTGTTAAAATTTTTAATTGTTTTTTTTTTTTGTAATTACAGCGTATTATTATTTTCTAAAATTTCATTTCATATTTTTTTTTAGGTGATTCAAGCTGTTACTGAATTAAAAAAAAAGCCAAAAATGCTGCATGCCAAAAGTTCTATAAAACTTCGAAAGCTTTGTTATCCTGTATAGATTCTGATACTTTTGACATCTGATTTTATGACTAACAATAACAGTTTTGTTTATGTAAATCATATTTTTTTCATTAAACACAGTACAGCAACATTGGTACTAGCATTGCTTTAAAGAGCTTTATTTACTTAAAAATTTCGTCACGAACGTAATACACGTTTTGCATTATTGGGATTATTACATAATATTTCCAACAGATAGTTGAGTCAGAAAAAAGCCAGTCCTATCGAAAAAAAAAAAAAATAAATGAAATATGCTACCCACATATTACAATATTGCTAACTGGACTTTTCTCTCTTTTATATTCGGGGTTATGCAATTTATTTCTTATCCAGG